TTTTCTAATTGTACATAGTTAATTTTAATTATGTTAGAAAAAAAGGGAGAGACGCTGCCTGATGTATTTTCCCAAATGACCCTTTAATTATATTTATCATATTTCCTCTTTTGTTAACTTGATAATCTCTGCCTGACCTACCTTTTTTCTAATTGTACATAGTTAATTTTAATTATGTTAGAAAAAAAGGGAGAGACGCTGCCTGATGTATTTTCCCAAATGACCCTTTAATTATATTTATCATATTTCCTCTTTTGTTAACTTGATAATCTCTGCCTGACCTACCTTCGGTGTCCAAGAGGGTACGCCGCACTTTCTTTCTTCCTTTCCTTCATAAATAAATTTTTTACTCTTATTTTAATTAGGTTCTCTTTTTTTTTTCTAATAGTAAAGACAAGCTTCGTGATTTGGGGTTATGGCTTAAAAGTGCTTTGAAGATTATCATTTTAAAATAATTTTGATTATGTCCACCGGATGCAGCTGTCTACTTCGAAACTATGGATTTTTTATGGCATTCAAATAGTGGCAATTTAAGAAAAATTCCTCAAGGACCCAAAATATAGGACCAATAGGGGGGACAAGTGAGGTGTTCCCCTCCTATTGGATAATGAGTTGGCAATCATTAATGATGGCTAACTCATTATCCAATAGGAGGGGGAAACCTCACTTGTCCCCCCTATTGGTCCCATATTTTGGGTCCTGTAGCAAAGCTCTCAATTTAAATACAAAATGGTGGCATTTATGTCATTTAAGCGGTCATATTAGCAATTAGTCCCTAAATTTTGGGAATAGAACAAATACAGTACATCTCATCCATACCGACGGGTGCCCAGTGGCTCTCCGTTTCCCCCCACAGAGTAACTTCTTTGTGGGCCACAGGGGTCCACTGGTTTCCTTCTCCACAAAAGAGCCCCGTTTCAGTGGGCTAATTTCTATAGGCTCCTCTAAAATGGGCCCGGTATTATACTGATGACATCGCCCGAAACAATATAAAGGCTGTTTTCACATATTAGTCCCTCACATCTTGAACTACTGTATATCACTACCTACTATCCTTAAAAAATAGAACTTGCCCACAAAGATCATCAACTCCTAAAGCGATCTCGCAAGTGGGTCCCCCCAATGACCAAATTGCCTCTCGATGTATGTTTTCCACGAAAAGCCTTTGTGTTCAAGAGACATAAACCAACGGGCATTTTCGCCATGAAGGGGCCAATTTTTGCAGGACCTTGAGGATTTGAGGTACTCACGAGCAATTTTAAAGACGCGAGAGACTAATATGAAATTATGAAAATTCTGAGGAACTGATATCTAAAAAAACCCAAAGTAGAATACTCTGGAAAAAAAGAAAAGAAAAGAAAACGTATAACAATTATAATAAACAAGTGACAATAGATTAGATAAGAGAGTAAAACCCCAGCATAATAATAAAAGCGAAAATCTACTTGCTTGCTTCTTGGCCTAAAAAGCGACGACAACAAGCGGCGCCAATCAATCAATCGGTCGATTCAAGAACAAAGAGTAAAGGTACCACTTTCATCTTCTTGATTCCATTACCGTTAAAATCTGAGTTTTTTTCCTGATTTTTTTTGCTATTTTTGTGCAAATTTTTGGCAGAAAATTGATGCTAGGTGATCTATGCTTCTCGCTAGATCCGTTTGTTCTTGGATCCGGCAGCTTCTCGCATGCATGGGGTCAGTTTTAATTATCCCTTTTTTTCGCAAATTTTTAAATAAATTTTATCCCTTTCTTGAAGTTTTAGGTTTGTAATCTGGTGATTATGCTTTTCGTTTGCTTGAAGGAATAGATAATTGATTGAATGAATTAAATGAGCAAAGATGTTTGTTTTAGTGTTTGATGGGTTCTTTTAGATCGATGCTGAGGACTGGATGCATTTATGTTTATATCATAATGCGAAGATCCTTGAGGAAACTGACGGTGTCGTGTTCGCCTTCTATATTTAGAGTGAGATTGAAAGAAAATAGGTCTTTCGTTTCTAGGGTTTATTGCTATTTAAGTGGATTAAGACATGGATGATGTTTTTAATTATTTATCAATTCGATTTGTGTTCCTCGTGTTATCGAAATCCGTTTCTATCCAACTAGTTTGTTTCGTCACTAGAGTATTTAACCATGCAGGCTCTTTTGGAAATTTCTCGACTGAGATATGTTTCTGTATGTAGTAGTCAGAATTTTATGAGGGCGTGTTCTGAAGAAAGGAAAGAGGTGGAGGCAGTGTCTCGGTCTTTTTCTTTGTAAAGATTGTTTCTCTGAAGATTTTAGCATGTTGACAATTTCTCTTGCTGATAAATTGTGGGACGCTAAAATGTGGGGAAAATGTGAACGATTGCTATAGTTACCAATTTTTAGAGTGATATGATTAGTCATTTAGTGGGTATCTGCATTAGTTGATTAGCTTTTCTTTCCGTAGAAAGTCACCATTATGTTGGGGAAAAAAATCCACTTCTTCATTCATTAAAGGTGATTCACATCATCCATTAATCAAAGACAATATCTAATTATGCTGACATGATTAGGAAAAACTTTCGTGTAGCTTGGCTTCTTCTTGACGAATCACCGTTATGTTGAAAATATCCTCGTCTTCATTCATTAAAGGTGATTCTTATTCTCCATTAATCAAAGACAATATCTAATTATGCTGACATGATTAGGAAAAATTTTCGTGTAGCTTGGCTTCTTCGTATCAATGTGTTATAATTAGTTGAGTACTGAAGTGAGTCACTAATCATTATCCGTAATAATCCAAATGCTTAACGATTATTCACTATCCCTTGTCGTGCATAATTTTCCAATTTTTTTGTCCTTTTGGATTCTAAACAAATCAGATGATTCATCTATGATGATACCTTTGGCATTAATCATAATTATAATCTATCATTGAAGTTATCAATAAATTCAACATTTAAATTCAACTTTTTTTATTTTCTTCTTTATATATTAACGTTAATTGTACTGGTTTCAGTTAGTTTCGTTGCTGATAGAAAATGATGCTAATCTTCTATATGGTAAAACCTGATTTGTAACAGAACAGAGGTTGTCTTGGCTGCTGTACAAAACCCACTCCAATAACTGCTGTTGATGAGCCTTCAAAGGGATTAAAAATTCAAGGTCGAACTGTGAGAAAACCCAGCATTTCGGAGGACTTGTGGAGTACAAGTACGTATGAGATGGATAATAGCGGAATTCAATCACAGAGGAGCATTTCTTCGATGAGCACATCGACACAACCTGTAGATCACAATGGAGCTGGAAGCACCAGTAGCCCTACTGAATTTGTGAACCATGGTAATTGTGAATTTATTTATTATGATCTTGTATTACAACTCAGGTATAGTTTATATGATTATTAACCATTTCCCTTTTTTACGTGCTTCCCTTTTAAAATTTATGATATATCGGTGTAGTTATGGAACTTATGTATATAACAAAGTAGGAGAATTAAGTAGTACGTAGTACAACAACACAACCTTTATCCTAAATGATTGGGGTCAGCTACATGAATCTAATTTTCCCATTCCATTCTATTATGGACCATCTCCCCTGTTAAGTTAATCATTACCATATCCTTCTCAATTGCTCACAACCAAGTTTTTTAGGTCTTACCTCTAGAATTAAGTAGTACAAGTAGCAGGAAATTGTTACTCCCCCAATTAGAGAATATTTTTAGGTGCTCTCATAGGATAGGACTATTTCAAAATTTTTGTTTCAATAATTTCCATTTCAAGAGTTTCTACTGCTAAAAAAAAGATTAAATGATAGATTCCTTCATAGGAAAAATACATTAGTTATATGCTAAATATATTAGTTTTTATGCAAGTAATGATCATGAGATTTGCGAGTAGTATTAGTTTGTGGGAATCCTCATGGCAATTTGAGTGCATTATTAGGTGGTCTTATAGGATAAAACATGCTGAGCTATGTTGTGTGGAACAGGTATTGGACATGGGGACACGACAAATTTGAAAAAAGCAGGGTACGGAGACACAACAAAATATATATTAATATTAATAATTTACATGTGTTTTTTTTCATTCGCATGTTTCGAGAATTAAAAATCTTATAATTTTATGTTTCGTTTGTTATGTTGACTATCAATGGGAAAGCCTCTCGTTTTTTTAACTAGATACGCAAATGGCCCTCTAAAATCATAGTTCTAGATGAGTATGGGGAAAATAAACTTGACCCTTGGCCAAAAACTTTCAGAAAGTGTGTGCGAAGCATAGAAGTCGGGAACGTGGTACGCCATAGTGAACTGTGAACCAGGTTCAATCATCCCAGAATCGTGCGGAACATGACCTGATTCACGAACTTCAGCGACTTGATTTAGAATTCAAACCAGTTAATTTTTGAAGAAAGATAACTCTTTTTAAGAGAATAAACAATGAAAACGTGAGAAATTAAGCAAATAAAGTATGCATATCTTAATTGCAACATGATTTTTAAGGTTCTTTTACCATTACTGATATCAACAAGCATTTCAGAATAGAACCTAAAGCGTACCACATTCCCTAACGTATCGTATGAGCCTACCCCCTCGTACCCGCTTCCTAATGAGTGACGTACCACGTTCCCATACCCGTCCCGTGAACCGGAACGAACCAGGTTCCATGCAACTATGGTGCGAAGGGTAGGGATATACGTTGAAGAAGTGTATGCAAGTCTTTTAAATTAAAACATGTATTATATAATTGAATACAAATGTGAATGAATATATGGATATATTCAAGGATTTTCCTATTGGTGTCCGGCAGGGGTACGAGAATTGTCAGGTATGGGTGCGGCTTCATGATGGAATTACCAACGCAACATAGATGCTTAGGAACATTTTGTATTCAACCTGTTATGTTGAGACTATATTTACGGCCTGGAGATATAAGGTGGTTTATTATTAAAATCCTTACTATTTTGGCACTATAAGCAAATCAAGAAAAGGAAAATCAGCACAAGGCTTTATCCCAAACTATTTATTGCCCCTCGCTGTGCTGGCAATAAATCAGCTACCTGTGATCATGTTTGCTTCAATTTCCCTTGCCGTGCTTATTTTTCCAACAAGAGTTTCCAGTTGATGCTGGGTTGAATAGTGCAGATCAATAGTTTGTTGGCTCAGAGAAAACTATACCATGAAACACAGTAATGCTGAACTATAATTGTGTTTTCTGAGATTTAGGTTAATGTTTAGCAGCAATAGTGGTAGATGTAGTAAGCGTAAATTACCCGCCTATGGTGGGTGGGCATTGGTGCTCGAATGCATATATTTGTTCTTGTGTATTTTGCTTCTCTGTTTGTGTTTCCTCATCCCTTTGCCATTACGATTGAGAAATGCCAACATTTACTGACGCTTTTTATGTTCTAATTATCTTTTATGCTTTTTAAATTTATTGGTGCAGGTCTTCTTCTTTGGACACAAAATAGACAGCAATGGATTGGAAACAAAAAACCTGAAAACCGCAAACAACAGCTTCGAGAACCAAGGTTAAGGTATGACTTAGCTATCTATGCTGGAAGTCAGCATCAAAGAATTATTTGGAGGTGTGCATCAAAAGGACTTAATTGGAAATGTTATGAAGAAGACTCGTTTGATTTAATTAATTCTGGCAGCTAAAAAACATGAGGAAACCTTTGCTCACAGGAAGGTTTACTTTGTGAACTTCTTGATTGGGAGCTCAATTTAATTAAATGTTTTCTTTCATTATTGATATTTGGGTGGGTTAGTCAGGCTTAATATATTGGTAATCAAGCTGAATCATTTAAACATGTATCTCGAGTTTTACCAAAAATTTATCAGAATGACATTTTTTTTGGTGCTCCTTGGAGCCGTGTGTTCCCAGATTTGCGCGTCTGCTGCAAGTAAATATTAAGTCTGGTCAATATTGATTTTATATTAAGCAAGCTGCTTGTATCTTTCTTGTTGTTATTAGCATCTGATATCTGATTCAATTGGTTTACATTTTTTTCCTTCGCGCAGCTGGAATGCAACATATGATAGTTTGCTAGGGACCAACAAGCCCTTTCCGCAACCTATTCCTCTCTCTGTAAGTTCGAAGAATTGTTCACTTGCCTTAATTATACTTGAAAGCATCATAATATTTGATGTTTCACTTTATTTTCTCTTTGTTTAATTGCAGGAAATGATTGATTTCCTCGTGGATATCTGGGAGCAGGAGGGGATGTATGATTGATTAAAGATCGAGGAGGAAAAAGGATGTTATTTGTAATTGAATATTAATGTCAAATAGAAGGTAAATACTACTGAGTGCATAGTGGAAAAAAGCATTTGCATGCTGTAATTGGCTTAGCCCCAATGATGCGGGTAACATGAACATAACTCGAAAGATGACCCATATCACGATCCAATTTATTACGGTGTGCTCTCTTAAATTCCTCCAATTCAAGTGTTGTTCCTTTGTCCATTATGTTATATATCTTTGGCTAAATAAGACGTAAATATCTCCTAGTTTCACCCATTTAGCGCTTAAGTACTCTTGGCTTCTTTTCTTAAGATGTATATACTCTTTAAGTTGTTTAAAATGGCATGTTGGTACTCTCTATCATGAAATATCATGAAAACATGAGAATGTTATGATACTTACAGGCTAATTGCAGAGTTTTCAAATCTTTAATGTTTGTTAAGTTTATTGGTAAATCGATCTCAATTCTAATTTAAAGTAAAATCAAGATAAATTTAAAACGTAATCTTGATACGTTTTTAGTAAATTTAATAAATATTAATAGTGTAAAAACTCTATAATTAGTCTATAATTATCATAAAGGAACATTCTTGTGAAATATTTTACGCCTACATGATTAAAGATACTAACAAGCCAATTTTAAACAACTTATGTAAATATTACGAAAAACAAGTGATAGTATATAAGTGTTAAGCGAGGCTTTTCACCAGCTTTGGTTATTTATACTATAGGGTTTTTTATGCCCTCTTTGTTCTATTTGCATATTGCTAATTTGTATATGCGTTCTCTTGCATTATATTTTTATACAACTCTACTAACCCCGTCAAAATTGGCAGTATGAATCTTATCAGGATCATACTTATAGGAGTGGGATGGTTTACACCATAAAATAGAATAGTTATAATTGTTAAACTATCCCTTCAACCATCCAGGAATGATGTATATCATGAGTAAGACTCCTATCAACTTAAGTTGATGTCCACCAAACTTCCTAACCACTCATTTATTAATATAAAAAACTTTTTCATATCATGCAAGGATCCCTAGGCAATATGGGTGGCTAAAAAGTTTGATGGACAACTTTTTGCTATTCACTTAAGTTGACACAAGTTTTGCTCGTATATCACTCTTCCATATGGTGTCATGGTATAATCCTTTGATAGGGGTAAAATATGTGGAAATTGGGGGTAAATATGCAAGTAGAATAGTCTCATCCCCTCTTAGGACATAGTTCGTACAATATCTCTTGTTTGAGTAATAAGCTTTAATTTGGTAATATTTATTTGAGAGGATATATTTCATGTAATTACAGGTACAAGAAGTGTTGGTCTTTTTGTTTTGATAATGTTTTAACAAATAATTTACAACTAATATTGTTTGTCTAGCGTTTTGTGTTTTCTTATTTATTCTAGGCAAACAATGTATTGGAGGATGGATAGAATCAAGGTTTCACGATCATATCCAATGGAGGTTAGCGGAATAGTGGAGTGAAGCAAATACTTTCAAGTCGAAAAGCACTTCTTAGCTTCATCCGCAAGTTTACCAAGAAGAGCTTATTGAAGATCAAGATCATCGCTTGGTATATTAGTTTAGGTTTTATATTATGTGTGTTAAATACTTCAAACTCAATCATATAATATACATTCATACATGTTTCATATTTATCATGTTTGGTTTTGATAAACAATGAGTTTTGTCACATATACATGAAAACAAACAACACATATACATATATATTTTTTCATGTTTATATGTGAAAATAGTGTATTCTAGTTTATAGACTTAACAACCATAATATATATTTTTTATTAAGTCTATAAAATTATTTTGTAATGTTTCAAAACATGGTTTATTCAAAATGACAAAAACAAGTGTTTCATGTTTTGGACCTTTTTGTAAAGTAAAGAGATTTCTCGTTTGGGAGATGCTTTTTGAAAACCAGTTTTTATAACATGTGTATTATCATGTTTACAATCATTTCCCAAAGTTTAATATTTTTCTGATTTTATTTCCTATTTTTAAAAAAGGTTTGAAAATCGGTTTTACTATTCAAATTAGACTGATAAAGTGTTATCAGTCGACTTATACATGTGTTCAATCGATTGAAGAAAACGCCTAGAATAGTTAAAAGTTTTTGTTTTTATGTTGGTCGACTGACCAGTCGACTGATGAGGTCATCGGTCGACTGATAAGATAGTCAGTCGACTGATAAGGTCGTCAGTCGACTAATGAGCTAAAAAATATCTGCAACGGTCAGCTCATCAGTCGACTGATGAAACCCATCAGTCGATTGATGCTACAACGGCTAGTTTTTTCCCAGCCTGTTCTAGTTTTGAGTTTTTGGTCTTTTTGCCTTATTTTCTCTTGGCTTTGAGGTTCCTATAAATACCATCACATATCCTCAGTTTTATTTAAACCAAGAGAAAAGTTTTAAAGAGTTTTACAAGTTTGTTTAAGGGTTTTAAAAGTTTGTTTCAAGAGTTTGTTTGTGAAGAAACTTTCACAAGAGCTTGAGGAGATCATCCTTTGGTGTTTGAGCATTCACTCTTCTCCCTCTCTCTTGTTATCTATAAAGAAGTTTCCTTAAACTCAATTCTAGCTATTTATTGTTTTGATTCTAATTTCCATAAGCTAGATTTTATTATTGAGTTTAATTGTTTTATTTTTACTCTTTGTTTACACACACAACCATTGAGCTTATTGTATTTTCATATATAGTATAATTTGGGTTGTGGGGATTGTGTGACTTAGAGTGTGAGCTTTCATTGTGTTCTCATCCATAGTAGAGAACAAACATTTGTTGTATTGAGCCTAATTGTGAGGATTCACTTTGTATTGCACAAATACACCAAGAGGAGTGTAGAGGTGAGAGACGTGGTCGGTCCCAAGAGAAGTGGGGTAAGTGGTAATGCCTAGATGTAGGTTGTAATTCCTAACACTTGAGGGAGACACGTGAGAGGCCAACACTTGAGGTGGTAGTTTGTGTAGTTACATTGTGAGTGATTGTGAACGTTGATCGGTGAGTGTTGAAAACCGATATTGTGTGGTGTAAACGTTATTCGGGTTAGCGTAGAAAAATCCGGTTGTGATAATGGAGATCTCCTCGAGGTGATGAGCGGAGACGTAGGTCGTGGGGATCGAACTCTGTGATCATATCTTGTGTTTGAGTTTGGCTTGGCGCACTTATATTTTTGTTCATCTTTATTGTCATTCTCTCATTGTTTATTTCATCCACTATATTATTTATATTTTGTTTATCTTTGTGATATTTGTATATCCTTGCATATATATCTTGTTGCATATCATATTTGCTAGGATATTTATTAATTAGTTTTAATTAACATTTAAATCGAATTAGATTAGCATAAACCCTATTTACCCTCCTCTAGGGTTCTTTCCTAGTAGCATTAGGGTGCTTTCAAGAAGTGTACGAGACGCGAAAATCAGCTCAAAAGCTAATTTCAGCTCCTCGCCATCGATGGTAGGCATTGACCATTGATAATAAGAAGATCTTATCGATGGCCAACAATACACATCGATGATTTTATTCTAGATACTTTCATATCATCAATGGACATCTCAACCATCAATAGGGCCTCGATACCATCGATGGTCGAGAGCCACCATCGACGATATAAATGTTGATTGTAGAATGTTGAAATTTAATCTCAGGTGTTCGTTGTTTCTTTTATCTCTAATCTCTACTGAGTTTAGGATATCTCTTCCCTGGCATTTTTGAGGACTTTATATTATTTTGCGTGAGAGAGAGAGAGAGAGAGAGAGAGAGAGAGAGAGAGAGAGAGAGAGAGGAGAGAGAGAGAGAGAGAGAGAGAGAGAGAGAGAGAGAGAGAGAGAGAGAAGAGGAGTTCTAGTGTTTTGATTTGTGAGAGATCATGGAAGGATTTGACCCACAGAGCCTCGTCAAACTCTCACTCGTCATGCACAATACTTTCATATCGTTTCAGTAAGGAGAGTTTCCCTTGGATTGATCTTCATCATCGTTCTTCACCGAGCTATGTTTATATTCTTCAAAGGACGATTTGTTTAACAAAAGGGCAGTAAGATCTTTCTAATATTCTGAGCTTTAATTGTTTATGTTGGTTTTGGCTCAAAATTTTTTTTACGGCGTACTCAAATGGGTTTAATTGAGGGTTGGGATTAGATAGGGCTAGGTGTTAATCATTGTGGAAAGTTAAGTTAGACGATTGGTTTTGAGTAGATTTTAGGGGGTGATCTCGTAATCCTATTGAATCGGATTTATATTTCAGGAGAATTCTTTGCATAGTGCGGAAGTCCCTTCGCGAAATGAAACAGCGGACGTAAAATTGTTATCTGACCACTATAAAATCTTATGTATTCCTTGTTAGTTCCTTTTTTACATTTGATTATCACTAATCGCTTCTATTTTATCTTTTTGGAGGTTTATTCTGTGTTTTGCACTAAAAAACACGATCACGTGCCTCTAAGCTTGAATTTCAGATCCAACAACCCCCTTTGACGTTAGTCAAATCTTCAACTTTATCAACAGAGCATGGAGAACTTAGATCCTTTGTCCTCCAGCATAATCTAGAGTGTTTCATCTTTATCTCCATCTCTGACATCACTGCATGCCCTTTGCTAATGCAGAGGAGCTCCTTTGGTTTTTCGCTGGTAACAAGAGCCAAGGTTATGGTGCCGCTGCTACAAGAGAATGTTCCCTTTCGTTTACAGGAGTTGTGGACGAAAAAAAAAATGTCCAACATTTATATATTTTGCAGAGCTTGGTGAAATTTCATGCAGTAGATCATGTAAACATTTATTAGGAAGCCTCAGTGTTTTCTGCAATACCCCCCCAATCTCACCTTCCTCATGACATACTTGCCTACGCCTCTAATCTCACATTTTTGTATCTGCGTTTCATATGCTGATAAAAATCCAAAATGACTTGATTAGCCAAAAACTAGGTACACGCATTGGGTGTTGAAATTCATAAAACCCCTCAAAATTTCGCGGCCTATTTTGCACGAAATCCCCTGAACTTTGTCTATCTGACCACAGCACCATCCTTTTCCGACTAAATCCTCTTTAACCTTGGATCTCCTCAAATAAACACCTGAATTTTAACGTTTTTCAACATAATGTCTTGCCGCATTTGTTCAACATCAACTTACCCAAATATTCACTTACGCCTATATTTTGATGGTTTGCATATGCTGATTTCTTAGATGTTTGTACTATAGCTG